TCAGTTTATACACAAAAATTAACTTGAAAGGGTGATGTTATTACGAATGAAAACAATTTTTTTCCTTAGTACGTTTTTGATCGCATGTAATTTACGGCTCATCGGTGTTTCCGCGTCTTGTATTTTTAGTAACAATTTTCGAAGTATTAGTACCAGTAGCAGTATGTACCTACTAAGTTGTTGTTTTTATTTCAGAGGCCTTGCTGCAGTTCTTCAAAGAGGCCTGATTGTTCAAGAAGCTATTGATATAGCCTTTGGAGAATACGACGAGATAGATGACTCTATGGAGGCAATTTATAACGTCAGCTACTTGCCGATGCAGAAGTTAGAACTGCTGATAGAATTATATTAGGAGAAGAAATTCCTATTTAACAGTCAGAATCGACAGAAGGTAACATTTCTTTGACAAATGATATGGATATTACACCTGCTCACATAGTCAAATTAAATGTTTATTTCATTTCCTCTGGTGAGACTAAGGGCTTATTCACTTGAATTTTAGCGAAAATATTGATAAGGATGATAAGCTCTGGAAGATACGGACATTTGTAAAGAAAGTGAAGGACAGAGTCAGAATGTATTTTGTTCCTGAAAAAAATCTGGCTTTCGATGAAAGTATCGTCAAATACTACGGTAAATATAGCTGCAAGCAATTCTTAAGAGCCTAACCCATACGATTTGGTTATAAAGTCTGGTGCCTAAATACAGTGATGGACTATTTGATTGATTTAAAAATAGATCAAGGAAAATCTGTAACTCCTGATATTGAGATAGAAAGAAACATTGGAAAGGCGGCAGGACCACTGGTGAAAATGATAGAACTACCTAAGAAATGTTCGACGTTATTCGCAAAAGGAAAAAAACATATGCAGAGTATAACATGGTACTGATCAAATGGATCAAAATTTTGACAGTACAAGATTCAAATTAGAAACAGAAAATGGTACTGGACATTGTTCACATGGCTTCTTGATGTTTCAGTCAATAACGTGTTGTGTTTGTATCGAAAATCAAAAAACTCTCAGATGTCCCAAATAGACTTTAGAAGGGCTATCATGCAAGTTTATTTGAAGAAATATTCGTCATCTCCCAAAGGCACTGGCAGAACTCCATCTCCATCTTCTAATGCCCAAAGAGTAGCAGATGAAATTAGATGTGATAGGATGGAACACCTAGTGGATAAAATTCCAAATGACAAAAGAAGACGTTGTGCAGGAAGATTTTGCAAAAGTTCAACACGCACGATATATTTTGTATTTTTGCACCCATTAGCTTCTAGCGTTACATATATGTAACAACATATATTAAGTGATCACATTAAAAACTGTGAAAAAATAATCTGGGCACTAGTGGGTTAAAACGACTTTCTGAATAAATTTTAAATGTTATATGTGGCTTCTAAATACCTGATTGAATTGAAAAAATTGATTTTTGACTCTTTTTTAATGGTTTTTGCAACTTTAAATTAGCAAATTGGTAAATTTAATTAAAAACCTTCTTTGTCTGCACAAAATTTTTCTAAAATTCATAGCTGTCGAGATATAACAATCAAAAGAGGGAAAAAATTGAATTTTTATATATTTTTCTCTGAAATTGTTTAATAAAAGATTTAGCCCACATTTGGAAGTGTCCGCATAGTGAAATTATCACTTCTAATAATACGTCGAGGCGATTAAAGGATATTTCAATACTAATCTTCGCGTTTAATCACTTTACTAGAAAACCTGGAATTCATATCCGAAGGTACTATTCGTTGCAAGATAATTAGGATGGAATTCCCCAGATTTTTAATAACATAATGGGTATAAAGATGCCGGCTTTGGCCACGTGCCTCGTCTGTTCAGTTTATATTCAAAACTTAACTTGAAAGGGTGATGTTATTACGAATGAAAACAATTTTTTTGTTTAGTACGTTTTTGATCGCATGTAATTTACGGCTCATCGGTGTTTCCGCGTCTTGTATTTTTAGTAACAATTTTCGAAGTATTAGTACCAGTAGCAGTATGTATCTACTAAGTTGTTTTTTTTTTTCAGGGGCCTTGCTGCAGTTCTTCAAAGAGGCCTGACTGTTCAAGAAGCTATTGATATAGCCTTTGGAGAATACGACGAGATAGATGACTCTATGGAGGCAATTTATAACGTCAGCTACTTGCCGATGCAGAAGTTAGAACTGCTGATGGAATTATATTAGGAGAAGAAATTTCTATTCAAGAGTCAGAATCGACAGAAGGTAATATTTCTTTGGCAAATGATATTGATATTACACCTGCTCATATGGTATATCCAAAAGTTTCTGAATCCCGGGATTGGCTTTCGGGAGATTTCACATATACCGAGAAACAATTTCCTGAGTCACATTATTCACGTCTTCTTCTTCAAGTTCCACTCCTATCGGAGATTGGAAATCATTCTGGCAATTATAATTTTATTGGTTACTCGCCTGAATAGTTCAATTGAACTGCATCCAAACCACTCACGGAGATTGCGTAGCCACGAGATTTTACGTCTTCCTACGCTTCTTCTACCTTTGATTTTACCCTGCATTATATTCCTTAGTAGTTCGTACTTTTCACCTCTCATGATGTGCCCCAAGTATTCCAATTTCCTGATCTTTATGGAATTTAAAACTTCGCATTGTTTTCCTAGTTGTTCGAGAACTTGTTCGTTTGTTTTGCGATCCATCCATGATATTTTCAAAATGCGTCGGTAACACCACATTTCGAATGCTTCTAGGTTTTTAATGTTGGATTTTTTAAGTGTCCAAGCTTCAACTCCATACAAAAGGGTAGAGAAAATATAACATCGAAGCATTCTTATCCAGAGCGATATATTGATATCGCGATTACAAAAAATTTTTCTCATTCTATTAAAAGTTGACCGCGCAATTTCAATGCGGCATCTTATTTCTTTTGTCTGATCAGTATCTTCTCTGATCCATGCCTCAAGGTATTTGTACGAAGATATTTGTTCAATTTCTGTATTATCTAGTACTAGCTTAACTTTGATGTTTTGTGCTTTTGTAAATACCATGAACTTGGTTTTCTTCAAATTGATTTTTAGTCCATAATCGTTGCAATATATATTTAGTTGTTCAGCAAGGTGTTTCAGTTCTTCTAGTGTTCCTTCTACATTATTCACTGTTTGAAAACAAATAAGTTGTTGATATATTCGAAATGTTCATAGATAAAGAAATCATTTTACTCCTGGTGCACGAAACAAACGAATATGCTACTTACAAGAACCTACCCGGCCTAGGAGTCTTGCTAGAGGAAATGAAAAGTTTGATTCCTAAAGTGGCTATAATAATCTTTCCATCAAGCGTATGTATTGGAAGTAAAGTCTTGACACTAGAAATTAACTTGTATATAATGCTATGAGACGCAACAGATTTGAGCAAATTTTGAGGCTTATTCACTTGAATTATAACGCAAATATTGATAAGGCTGATAAGCTCTGGAAAATACGGCCATGTATACACAAAGTGAAGGACAGATTCAGAAAGTATTTTGTTCTCCTAAAGAAGATTTGACTTTCGGCGAAAGTATGCTCAAATACTATGGTAAACATAGCTGCAAGCAATTTTTAAGAGCCAAACCCATACGATTTGGTTATAAAGTCTTGTGCCTAAATACAGTGATGGGCTATCTGATTGATTTCGAGATATATCAAGGAAAATCTGTAACTCCTGATATTGACATAGAAAGAAACTTTGGACAGGCGGCAGCACCACTGGTGAAAATGATAGAAGAACTACCTGATAATCTGAAATCTTTTCCATTCTTGTTTTAGTTTGGAAAAAGAAAAAAGGAAAAACCGTTTACCTAGGAGCTGTCCTTTATTAGCTAAAAAAGATATTCAGAAAAAGGAAAGGGGATACTATGAAAGTATTATTAGTAGGGCGTATGCTGTACTAGTAGCTAAGTAAGTCGATAATTCCGTAGTTTACATTGCTTCAAATAGATATGGCATCAATGTAATAACAAATGTTAAACGTTATTCGCAAAAGGAAAAAAACACATACAAGTTAGCAAACCAGCAGTACTTGCAGAGTATAAGATGGTACTGATCGAATGTATCAGAATTTTTGACAGTACAGGATTCAAATTAGAAACAGAAAATGGTACTGGGCATTGTTTACATCGCTTCTTGATGTTTCAGTAAATAACGTGTTGTGTTTGTATCGAAAATCAAACAACTCTCAGATGTCCCAAATAGACTGTAGAAGGACTATCATGCAAGTTTATTTGAAGAAATATTCGTCATCTCCCAAAGGCAATCACAGGACTCCATCTCCATCTTCTAATGTCTAAAGAGTAGCAGATGAAATTAGATGTGATAGGATGGAACACCTAGTGGATACAATTCCAAATGACAAAAGAAGACGTTGGGATGGAAGATTTTGCAAAAGTTCAACACGCACGATATATTTTGTATTTTTTGCACCCATTAGCTTCTAGCGTTACAAATATGTAACAACATATATTGAGTGATCACATTAAAAACTGTGAAAAAATAATCTGGACACTAATGGGTTAAAACGACCTTCTGAATAAATTTTAAATGTTATATGTGGCTTCTCAATACCTGATTGAATTGAAAAAATTGATTTTTGATTCTTTTTTAATGGTTTTTACAACTTTAAATTTAGCAAATTTGGAAATTTAATTAAAAACCTTCTTTGCCTGCACAAAATTTTTCTAAAATTCATAGCTGTTGAGATATAACAATCAAAAGTGGGAAAAAATTGAATTTTTATATATTTTTCTCTGAAATTGTTTAAAAAAAGATTTAGCCCACATTTGGAAGTGTCCGCATAGTGAAATTATCACTTCTAATATGTCGAAGCGATTAAAGGGAAAATTTACCGTACCCAAAACAGATAACGCCTGGTCTTCTAAATGCATATGGTACTTGAATGCTTTAATTTATATCAATTCCATACCACCCACACCCATGTCCAATTAATTATATGTATTGTTGAACTAGTAATCAGCCCGAATACGATTGTCTTTTATTAATTTGGCTTACTTCTAACATTTAAATGAGTTTCCTATCTTCAAGTATGTGTGATAGCTGTTCAGCATACTCTATTTTACCTAATGGTTTAATAATATTGACGTGCTTTATTACATAAGCTAGTAAATATTCTAATAGTGTCAATCCCAAATGGTAAAATCTTTAAAATGTTCTAAAATCTTTTTCCATGCCCTCAAGTTTACAACTTTGTATGTTCGATTTCATCAGTCTTCTCTTCTTGTATAGTTTCTTCCCTGTTGTGATAATCTGTCTCGTCGGGTACATTGTCATATTTACTAATTCTATCTTTTTCCCTTTGTAGATTCTTTAGGTCCTTCAGCAAACCATTGTTCATGCCTTTTGCGGGAGCGACTAAGTCAGGTTTAGTTTCGTCGAATACATCGATGACTATTTTCAAGAAGTTCGTCATTTTGGGCTCTGAATCAATTATTCGCAACTGATCGTTTAATACGTCGGACCTAAAAAAAATATATATAACATTACTGCAATTGTAAAACCTAAAAATAATTTATATTTTACGTTTTTCACATTTGGTCCCAGTGAAGATAGCCGCAAATGAGTTTGACAGAACCAAATATTGTTATTTGGCAGTGTTGAAATTTACATTACAAATGAAACATACGCAATCAAAAGCAATAAAATATTTAAAAATTAATACTTTAAAATTACCAAAAAAAAAAGTAAATACATAGTGTTACAATCCATTTAAGACGACAAAAGGACTTCTACAAGGCTGTGCTACGTCCCCTACTCTATTTAAAATATTCTTGGAAAAGACACTCAAATCATAGAGGAGAAAGTGCGAAGGAATGGGCATACCAGTAATAGACGAATACCTATACACCTTAAGTTTTGCCGATGATCAAGTAGTCATCGCACAAGATGAAGAAGATCTCAGCTTTATGCTCAGAAAACTAGAAGAAAAATATAAAAACAACGGAATGGAAATAAACTTAGAGAAAACCGAATATCTAACAACAGAAAACAAGGATATGAGAAACCTAGAGATAGACGAGGGAAGACAAGTAAATGGAACAGATAAATTCAAGTATTTAGGAACCATAATATCGAACCAGGGAACAACATAAGAATATATAAACAACAGACTAAGACAAACAAGAAGCTGTATAAGACAACTAAATTCAGTGCTGTGGGATAAAAACATTACGATAAAGACAAAAAAGAGAATATATAATACCCTGACATATTGGTCCGAAAACTGGACAATAAACAAGAGAAATAGAGGTAGAATAAGAGCAGTAGAAATGGAGTTCCTGAGGAGAAGCTGTAGACTTACAAAAAGAGACAGAATTGAAAACGCAGAGATTAAGCGGAGAATGGGAGTGCAATCAGACATAATCGACTATATAGAGGAGAAGAGACTATCCTGGTACGGCCACGTCAGAAGAGCGGACAGTGGACGCTGGATAAACAAAATCACAGAATGGAGCCCGATCGGAAGAAGAAAGAGAGGAAGACCCCGAAGGTCATTCAGATACGAAATCGACGAGGCTATGGAGAAAAGAACCCTGCGAGATGGAGACTGGAATGACAGGGAAAATTGGAGAAAACGGTTGAGTGAAGGAAGACAGTGAAAACTGTGGAAATCCTTAGTAGTAGTAGTATAGTGTTACGATAAATTCTGACACAAATCCGTAAACATATTTATTACTAATATTCTTATTCATTCAAGTATTTTTCTAGGTCATATACCACCGATTCGAACTCTCCAGAAGAAAATCGAATAAAAACAACAACCAGCTGGCGACCCGACCCTTCAAAAAGAACATGTTTACCTTCCACACTAGACGAGAAGGTCGTCGACTCTTCGCCGGTGTTCTAGTCTAACGGTATTGGTATATATAACGGAACTTTCATTGTGGGGAGTTAGTCTGAAGAGAATATCGCGGCGGGTTTTTTAAATGTAACTCTTGTATAAATAAATTATGTAATTACTAGTGTAAGATAAATTACTATAAATAAACTTTAAATTAAATTGTAAGTGTTATAAATATAGAACCTTTGATAAATAATAAAGACAATAAATTAGAATTAATAAAATTACAACAATAGTTTTTAGAAGTGAATTGTAAAATATCAGTATAAATAATAAAGTTAAAAAAACATCTGTTGCAATCTGGCAACTGGTGGTTTAAGGGTTCTGATACTATTACCAAGTCTATCCGCTAAACTATCAAAGGGCAATTGTTAAAAAATGATCTAATAATTAACTGCAATTAATATAAAAAAACAAATGTTAATTCATTCATAAGTTATCAAGCTGCAGAATCCATAAAATAAAACAATAAAAATGTACGTTTTATACATTATAAGTAGATGGCAACACTGCCAATGCAATATTTCATTCTGTGAAACTTAATTTATACTTTATACATAAAGTCCTTTATACTTTATACATAAAAAAAACTAAGCAGTCTACTAGACAACAATATAAATAGTTTATAACATGCAGTTATTTTATGATAAGAATGAAATAATATCGTTCTAGTAACTTTTAATATCCAACCATACAGCTAACTCCCTTAAAGCCGTCACTCACTTTCCAACGGCGCAGTACGATTTTGTCGAATGCAATTGCAGTACAATAATGTTGAAAATCGGATGGGAACACACACGTACCGATTTTGCAGTATGATATTTACTTTCAAATTAGAAACATGTCAGATAATGATATACTTAGTGTTGCTATACTAAGACGTACATAGTGTCACGTACATTTATTAGAAGAATTATGATTATATCCAGATAAATTTAATTCCCTTTTGTAACATGTTCGAAAACTATTAAGTTTCTTTGTTACCAACTTTTCATTAGTATTCGCTTTCACTTCTTGAAATTTGGCAACCAAAATATTCACAGTTTTTTTTTTCTAGCGGTCTTATCATGATATGATGTCGATTTTATATCCAAAGACTCTCTGTTCTTTATAAATGTCAAATAAATCTCTTAAAAACCTTTAGCTGTAAGTCCTTTTCGAAATTTACCAGCAAATGCTTTTTTTGCAGTCGTACGATTTTGTCGTTGTCACAATATGGACGATCAAATTTATGACCAACCAAATTTGTCGTACTGCTGTAGACTGACTTATTTGCCTGTCGTCAAATCACGCCGATTTGGTAGAATGATGCAAATACACGATCAAATTACGTTCAATTTTGTAGCATTCGACAAAATCGTACTGCGGCGTTGGAACGTGTGTGGCGGGCCTTAAGCCACTCATGATACTGCCCACTGCGGTGTCGTTCGACAAAATCGTTGATGATATCAATACTACAGTGCTGCATCATAGAAACCAGTTTCTCTATGGTAAAATTCTAACAATTTTGTTGGATGCACGGTCACAGACGATCAAAATGTTTGTCAATTAGTCGAATTCGATAAAATTGAACGACGTCGCAGTATCGTGAGTAGCCAGCTTTAGATTCTGATGACATTTAGTGAATTATCAGTTGGGAAAATATTGCAGTTTTGACAGTTCATTTCTCGCGGCTTTTTGTTAGTGTCATTATAGCGTTTGTGAATTGGAGGTTAGGTCACAGAAGAATAAACAATCAGAATGTCCACTCTCAGATGCAGCCTTTGAAGTTTCCAGCACGCGCGCCATGTTTTAGAAGAAAACGCATAACACAGACATATGATTTGTGAGGTTACGTAATTGATTATATTTATGTTTGATTATATTATATTTATGTTATTATATTTAACAATGTTAATATAATTGTATAGTATATCTATGACTGCCGTAAGTCAATTAAACTGGGTTAATTTTGTCTATACACACCACATAAACAACACTGGTTCCCTCTAAAACATGGCGGAACGTCTTCGCGAAGGATATGCGCGTACTTAATTTTCCATGGAGAGTGGGCATTCTGATTGTTCATTATTCTGTGGTTAGGTCGTGTTAGTCACAATCTTTGACACTAAGAACCATGATCAATCATGGGTAAACAAAATGTGAGTGTCAGTACGACATAATGATAGGTAAAAATTAAATACTTAAATATTAGATTAAATCCATAATAACATTCTTATTTTAGAAAATTCCGAAACTAGTCTAAACAATGCTACAATGCCGTCCGACGATACATAGAGTTTTAAAAAAGCACTGTTTTTTATAAATTAAATGGGGAATCATATTTGGACATACGTCATTACAGAAGTGGATGAGTTATTAAGTCAAAATTATACACAAAATCAATTAAAAAGATATAGCACCGCCACATAAAGTCGTAGCCGTTCAAGAATATTTAAATACTCAATTTAATATGTGGATCGGCAATAAGTGTACGATTACATGGCCACCAAATAGTCCCGACTTAACACCATGTGATAGCTTTTTATGGGGGTTTTTAAAAAAAAGGTGTATTTTGATTCAAATACAAATATTAACACTAATTAACAATTTGAGAAAATTTGAGATAAAGATATTACTTGTGCATTGTTAACAATGGAGGGCACTTTGAGCATCTATTGTAATCTTAAATGTAGTGTAAGTCAGTAATTAACTTTCTAAATATATTTTTTTTATCTTAGTATAGTATAGTAGTACCATACGCCATTATAGAACAAATCTAATGCTACACTATGTTATATATAGATTGAACGAAATAAATTCGGAACATACGAAATATTATGCATTTCGGCTCAATCCCGCTCTAGATGGTTGGCCAACAAAAGGTTGTCAAATAATTATATTATAAAAATCCAATACTTCAGCGGGCTGCTGGATTCTTATGTCATTCAAGAACAAGTCAAAACTCCACCCAAATAGGTTGCCCGCCCATCACGTATAAAAATTGAAAGCTACACATAAATCTACGATTTTATTATGCTGTCAAACCACTTATCGCTTCCTTAGACAAGCCCTTCTTTGAGCGGTGTTGCCGACCTCATTACTCTAGATGTTTCTCAAATAAGGTGTTAACCATAAAATATTTACAGAAAGGAAATAACTACAAACCATTAAGTTTATTTTTGTTATTAGTCTTGTGGAAGTAGATAGGTAAATACAATGAAAAATATAGGCAAATATCCGATTTATTTAAAGATACGAAGAAGATATAACTCTCAAAAAGATCCGCAAATGGGATTATTACACGGCGATTGGCAACATTGTTACGCAAACAACATTGTTGCGAGACAGATAGTTGAACGATATTTTATACAATGTCTATCCCCAGGTATGGATTTATTTTTGTCCAAGTTTTATATTGGTCCACTATTTCAAATGCAGTTCAAACAGACATATATTAAATTGTATGATCCGTTTTAAATTCGTTCAATCTGTATTTGTAATCGGGAAATGCAGGGCTACTCAAAATTTTATTTTGAGGGCATTTTATTGGGCACTCCCTGTATACAAAATTTGGTCTGTTGCTACACTGTTAGTCGGTACAGATAAAATATTACAACTTTTATTTGAAATTTTTTTTGT